GAAAGGATTTAACTCTCACGTAAACTCGAGGTTCTGGTTAAAGGTCCGGTGAGTCTTAACTTAAAACCCCATTTTCAAGTATTAAATGTAAAAGTATTCCCTTTTTTATATTTTTGTCAAGAAAAGGTCTCTAATAAGGATATTTTTGACGGATTCAAATTGAGAAATTAAAATATGAATAGAGATTTTCGTTAAAGTTATTTTACGTATTCTTAGTGCTTTTAAATTATTGTCTTTAACTTTAATCTGAAAACTCATCTTTTTCTTGTAATGGATGAGTCTTTGCCACAATTACTCTGAATTTATAATCAATATATCTTTGAAACCCAATGTCGTACATCTTTGATATTTCAAACTTATATCATTTGATCTAACAGAATTCATAGTTTGAAATATCTAAGGTCTACGACATTTGAATCCAAAGATATAGGATTTAGAAAAGCAGAGTTTGTGGCAAAGACTCAATTCCTTTTGTTACTTTTTCTTAAATGAATTCCTTATTGTGGATCAATTTACAAATTAATAATATTTTCTTCAATAATTAATTGGCTTTCCCTTCCGTATCACGTTACCATGGATAGAATACACTTGACCTTGAAGAAATACGGGATAGGATCGGGCTTATTGTAAACAAATAAAAGGACTGTTAAAAAAACGGTTCGGTATCTTTTATAACTTATTTTTGCTTTAAACCTCAAAAAAAACAATCTACATATATTAATCCTACTTTACTAAATTAAGCATTCTTAAAACATTTAAACAATAAATAATTTAATGTTATCTAAAATATAAAACATTAAACCATTACATTTGTTATTCGTTTGATAAAAATCTACCAACGAAACAAACTCGAAATGTTACGCGGGATGAACCACAAATGAATCAGCGGAAATTCTGCAAAATTGCAAATTCATTTTGTCCCTGTTGCAAGATGCAAGTCGCAAGCTGCATAATTCGTAAAACTCAATTACTCCATTTTTGCACTGCTAACCTTATGTACAGGATTACTCACAAAAGATGAGACCTAAAACGCTTTAAAAGAAAATGAGTTTTTTCCACAAAAGTCCAATTTTCTAATTCATATATCTTTGCAACCTGGTGATGTAATTTTCTAACTGTTAAACTCAGGTTATCTAAACTAACAGAATTCATAGTTTGAAATATCAAAGGTCTACGACATCAAGCTGCAAAGATAAAGAGATTAAACTGAAAAACTAATTGATTTGGTAATTATAACAGCAAGAGACGGAATAAATCTCCTACAGTCGTCTTTGTGGGCAACCCTTCACCGAAACAAGAAAATTACTACCCTTACAGATGCATGCCCATTTTGTAATTTGGTCTAAAGATTAATTCTCCTAAAAAACTTTTTTCAAATATATGTCATTTTCTGCTGCTCAAAATATGTGAAATTAAATTTCATTTCTAACCAACCATTAATAAGTTAAATGACACTTCAAAAAAAATTCTTTAAATGATATTTCTTGCATATCCATTATTCATGATGTCATTCATTAAAAGTTTTCTTGGATTAAACACTTTAAAATTTCCCTGCCTAAAAAGGCTTTTCTTCAATTTAATTAAATTATGATAATAATAACTTATTGTTCTGATCTAAAACAGAAAATAATATTTAGAATGAAAATTTTTAGAAAGCAAGTTTTTTTAACAAGCTGTTTTTTGGAAATCATGCATGGAGGGCATGTCTCATTCTTAATGTATATCATTTAAATTGTAAATTACAGATTAACTATTAGATTTCATAGCTGTAAAGAAAATCTTGACTATCGTTATAATAAATAAAGACATTCTCTTTTTAAGTTCTACAGGGAGGGGAGAGTTATAAATTTGATGATGCAGACCTTTAATATTTCGAAGTATGGATGTAGATAAAATAATTAGAGTTCGAACCCAGACTCAACTTTAAAATAATTAGAAAATTATAATTTAATGCGATTTGACGATCATTATTAATTTTCCATCCAAAATTAATCAAATGGAAATATTCAAAATAAAAAAATAAAAAATCATAGTTTGATAAGAGTAAATATAATTCCTTTTCCAATCAAAATTAATAAAAATTTTCTAATAATATAAAAAATATTAGTCGAAATGTATGAAAGTTTAACTTAAATTCAAAATTGGCAGCTTTCGGTAATTCAAGACAGAAACAAATATTAATGAAATAGTTCGACAACTTAAAAAACAAAAACAACAAAAAATGTTTTATTTACGAAAGATTAAAATTTAGAGACGTTTTCTTATTTTAAAAACAAGACAAGCGTGAAACAAATAAAGAAAATTTAACCATTAGATTTTGATTAGAAGTTTTCATGAAGTGATTAAAGAACTAAACTATACAAACTGCTGAATATTACCGAGATTGTTCAGAAAGGTGAATGTTCGAATCCTCTCTTGATTTTCCAGTTTGCATTTTATCACACAAATCAAACTCTTCCGGATATATCTTGTAATCACTGGATATCCTTAAACATCAGTGAATATCCTAATCCGGAGTAACCTCTGAACCTGAAACCAGTTTGGAGTAAAACCTCTTCTCTGGGCCTGAAACTAGTTCGGAGAATTGTTGGACTATATACACTAGTTACTACAGGCTGTGTACTACGAGTGTCAAAGTGTAGCGGGAAACCATCTATCTATCTATCTATCTTCCTCTCCAACCATTCCGTACCCAGGTAGTCAGGTATTCAGGCAGTTGCCTACATTGGGCCCTAGAATCAATTTTAACAACAAAACAGAATATTATGTTAAAAAGCTATGATTCGATAAGACTTTTTTTTCAAAATTGACATTTAGTTTCAATAATAAATTCCAGGCCCCGTACTCCTGTTGTTTTATATTTTATATTCCAGGGCCCATTATCCTGTTGTTTATATTTTATATACGTTTCCCCCTGGGCAAGTATTTACATCCCCTCATGGTAGGGAGGGGGGAGTTGAACTATATGTGGGGGGGGGTTGAACTGGAT